GGTCTTCCCCGGGGCCTCCTCCCGGTGGGACATGCCTGGAACACCTTCCTAGGAAGGCGCCCAGGAGGCATCCGAAACAGATGCCCGAGCCACCTCAGCTGGCTCCTCTCGATGTGGAGGAGCAGCGGTTCTACTCTGAGCTCCTCCCGGGTGACCGAGCTCCTCACCCTATCTCTAAGGGTGCGCCCGGCCGACTAAACCGATTTTGTTCATTAAAAGTTGGGGTGTAATAGAGAATTTTGACTCTTTGATAAAGTGATGAAAACGGAATCCTTTACTTTTAGAAAGACCGTTGGGTGAATGTTAGCATATTATCCTCTCAGACTGCTGAAAAGAAATATTTTAAGTTTCTAAAAAGGTTGTGACGTTTTAATTTTCCTTGGAAAGCTCTGTGGCTTCGCTTTGACTCTGACCCATAGGTGGCGGCCTAACACAAAGAGATACAGCTCATTACTGCATCCACATGCAAGGAGTGATCATTTAATGTAATTTATTACATGTGGTTTATGTTTTAAAAATGGGAATTGTTGTTTTAAGAACTTTTAATTTGATGTTTATGATGCTGAATTACTACTAGCAATAAACATATGTAATGTTAACAGTTAATGAGCAAGGATTTAAAGTGATGCAGCTGTTGGGATGAATGACAATTAGTAGCATTTGTCAGCTATTTAAGAAGCAGGGAACACTGCTCTTTGATTAAACAGTTTTCCCAAAGTCAGCCTAGATGAATAGTGTCCAAGTGGAGAACTCAAAACTCGCCTGTATGCTATAACCTTCAGTTAGTATATATGGTGGTACTGAACTGAAGGTCACCCACCTTTGCAGCACTATTTACAATATATTCACTTCTTATATTGTTTGTTCTCAAAAAGATCTAAATATTCAGAGGAATACAGCCCCATATGCATTTGAATATACATTCATTCATTAGTATATTTCTTTATTAATATTTATATTTTAAGAATACACAATCACTTTACACTGAAACCATTTCAAAAAGCTTAACAACCTAAACAATTTTCATGTTTGCATGTCAGCACTAAGAACTGGCATGAAAACAGAAATATTCAAAAATGCAATATGTTCTGTTTGTGTAGTATACAGTAAGAACATGATGCAGTATTTCTAAAAGTAATTGTATGTTTAGAATTTTATTGTTTTCTCATAAACTGTTTTCATCTTTTGTTGTTTTTTGGTGCTCATATAATTGTAGGTATGAAACTCTGTGCTTCCCATGTTTGACCGCACCCTGAGAGAGTCTCACTTAAGCCGAAATGTCTCAGTAACCTTTAATTATTTTGGTATCAAGTGTGAAGTTACAGTTGTCATCACCACAGAGACACATTTGCCTTTAATGTCACCTCTCATTGTGTCAGGGCAATAAACACTTCTCTCATGGGTCCCATTACATGTGATGAGGCAGAGGGAGGATCGTTTAAACATCTTGAGCCCTTTATTTTAGGAAACAGCTGAACCAGTTTACTTAAATGTGGCTGAGGGTTTTTATTTTTAGCCACAGTTTTTTTTCTCCAAATGTATAGTTTTTACCATGTGGTTTGGTCCTTGTGAATGGGCTGGTTCATTGTTTACATTATAGTTTGTCATTTTCTACACTCAGATATATTTGTTCCTGCTGTACTTGCGTCTCACACAGGGGCTGTCAATATGTGACACATAAACAGAGGTTTACATCTGTTACTCTGGAAAATGATTCATAAAGTTGTTAAATTCTGAGTTATACTGGAATACACCCAGGGCCGGATTAACCTTTTAGGGAGGCCTTGGGTCAAAGATGTGTTGTTGGCCCTCTATTGCCCCCATTATACATGACAGTTTTACCATTTCCCCAAGCACCCAGAAACCTTAAATGATCTGATATGACCAGAAATCACTTAAGTAATTTTTAAACAAAAATGCTTAAAAAAAATCACTGGCACCAGTTTCTCAAATTTTCTAATTTGCCAGTTTTCTATGAAACTTAACATCTTTGAGTTTTTTAACTGTTGGTCGAAGAAAAAAGGCAACCTAAATATGTTACAGTTGTTTTCACTATTTTATGACATTATGCTGAACATTCAATCAGTTACTCAATAAAATAATTGTCAAATGCATAGATAATGAAAATAATCATTGGTTGTATTCTTAGAGTGATGGAATAATACTGCCTTACCTAAGGTTTTTTACTGTTAATTAATTGGCACATATAAACTTAAGGTATTTGATCACACACAATTATCTCAGAATAAAGTAAAACAATTAAGCTTTAAACCTACATTTAGACACAAAGTCCTTCTACGAGAGGACACATGAGATGGAGGATGGAGGACCTGACCTCCTGCATTTGATATTGTATTTCAGTGACGCACATGTCTGACAAATTTGCAATTAATCAAATGATGTAGACCCAAATCATATGGAGATAACCTGTCTCGATGGCCCTGGAAGTGGGCTAAAGATTAAATAGAGTTTAGGTGCATTCCCCTCAACCAAATAAGGCACTTTGCTGCCTTCAAATGAAAGCATATTGACAAGAAATTAATCTGTATTCATGATTTAGATCAAACTAAAATGAATCATAATGGCTTAAGTCAGTCATATATGACAGAAAAGGTATTTTATGCAGTTTTGACTTTAAACATTGATCATTTTCTGATCCAGGGACTCTCCACCAAGGCACCATCAATAAAAGTCAAAGTAGCATGTGTGAAGTCAAAGTGGGCTACAAAGTAAATGGAAATACTCATGTAAAGTACAACTACTTCAAAAATGTAGGCTTCTTGAGTAAATGCAGGATACTTGTTTACTGTACTTTCCACCACTGCCTGTATACATGCTGCATGCAAGACAGCCTAAAAATCTGTCAGAGGGGAAATGACCTGCGATTAAGAGTGGGTGAAAATCCCTAAATTCAGAGCAGATACCTGCTTGTTGGCTCTAAAAAGCTGTCATGTCTGTTACAGTGGCAGGGCAGGCTGTGCCCACACCTTTACACAAACCTTGCAGAAAGGATCTTTTTTTTCATCCATTTGCTTTTGCCGACATCCCCTGCTCTGGGCTGTGGGGGTGTATGAGGGGCTGGCCCCTGCTGATTCAGAGGTTAGGAATTTGCATCTGATTGCTGTTTGTCAACCAATGATCTGACTGTGCAGACCGGATGGTCTCTCCACGCCTCTCTCTGACTGTCTGAACGATGCGGACTCTCAAAGCGACACAAACTCTGAAAACACAATTACATGCGAGTGTCGAACGCGTGGACACCATGCTGTCATATTAAACAACTTTAATTCTGGCTAATAAACACGCGGGTCACCTCTGCTTTTCCTCTTATCGCTGCCTTTTCCTCAGTGTGTAACCGGAGGGGGAGACTGGATTCACAGACGGGGAAAACAGGAATGTTTCTTCCGCTTCCAAAGAGTGTAAAAAACGAACGGATGCCGATGTGGTAAGTTTATATTTCGTTTCATTAGTTTGCTTTCTTCATACGTATACTGTTTTATGAACAATTTTCGTTAGTGTTTCCTTTCCTTTGTGCTTCTTCAGTTTACTAGTCCCTTACAGACGGAGCTGCTATGTCAATACGATGTAATCACAAAGCCTGATCGATAGCTATTGCTAAGGTAGCGGATGGACTCAACTAGCCTATGTCACCCCGCAGAGGTAATTTAACCAAGCCAAGGGACTTTTTCTTATGTTGAAATATACCTGAAACGCCGTTGTTTATATTTGTAGGTTTGTTTGAAGGTTGTTCGGCTGTGTCACCGAATTTGAACCGACTATATAGAGTGAAATATAAGAATGAGTGCGTTAAAATCTAGCACCACCGTTCGTCTTTACCGTCTGCTATAAAAACGTTAATAGCTAATGTTCGAATTTCAGCCATTAGCTCGGTTTTATCTGTGTTAACGGCTAACGTTCCAACAGTCAACTTGATTCCATGTTCTCACCAAAATACTATCACAAATATACATCATAACTTGGCTAGCTACTTAATATGTCAAGCTGATTATTTTCACTATTATCCCGTGCTACCTAAAGGGGTAAACCAACTGCCCGTGCGCTTGTTGTTAAAGATTTGTTGTTAAAAAAATTTTAATAAAGTGATTTTTAGGACGGGTTTTCTCATGGTTGGCAACACGTCCTGTACAATTTGAACCCACCATTTTTGAGCGACTCTCTTTTACAACGCCATTAAACATCCTCTCTTGTGTAATGTTTCCTTTTTAAGTTAGATATAGAAAGCAGTGCACGTGACAGCATCTACACTTGGGCCTCGAAAGAAATTTGTTCAGGCAAAATATCATGTTAAGAGGTCAAAACAGAGACATGATTTAAAGGTGGCTTCATGAATCAGCTGGAAGTTGGTGTGTGAAACATTAGGCCTCTTTGCTACTTCTGTTTAGAGCTGCAGATTAGTTGTCAACAAAAAAAACCGGCGCAACTGTTTTGATTAATCTTTTTTCGAAGCCTCTCAGATATAAAGGTTTCCTGCTTTGTGTCTTGTATCTTTGTAAATATTTTAGATTCCTGGTTGGACAAAAGATAACTGAAGTCATCACCGTGGACTCAGATTGATAATTTTGTTTTTGTATTCAGACATTTTATAGGTGATTAATTGATGAAATAATCAGGGGATTCTTAAGCAAAGAAAATAATCGTTAGTTGCAGCCCAGCTCACATAATGCCAGAAACAGATGATGTAATGACGCTGTGATAATAGTGGTTTTTGCAGACCAGATGCAAAGATCGGGCAAATATTTGAGCCAATTTCAGTCCTATTTAAGAGCCAAAACATGCATGGACAGTTGACGTGTATTTTAAAATCTAAAAACTCCAGGGTCAACACAGGTGTATATTTCTCACTTGAACATCCAGTTGATATGATATGAAGAGATAATCCTTTATTGTCATTGTAACATATACAATGAAATTTTAAAGTGACCTTCAGTCGGTACATCAATGAAAAAACATAACATATAAAATAAAAACATAACCACAAAAAAATAATAAAATGAAACAACAGACCCCTCACACACACCACCACACACACAGGCATATTATATTTTAGCAGCATTGAGTGTGATTTCACACACTGAGCATTGAGTGTGATTTCACAGGTTGTAGGGCTGTGTCAATTCCTTACAAGTGAAATCCCTAAAATTGTTCTGTGGAAGTGGAAAAGACAAGTACAAATTGTGGAGCAGATGGAGAAAAGAGCCTGTCAGCACGTGTTAGTGGCTGAGACCAAGACAAGTCAAAACATCCACAGGACCAGTTCAGCATGTTAGGGGATTGATGTGGACACAAAGAGCTATCTTCAGTACTACAGGGTGGTGGGAAAATCAAGCGTACATAATAGGCTAAGCATTGTATTCCTGTTTATGAGATCAAGCAACATCAAGTGGAACAGCAAACTTTTCATCCCATGTGGATTCAAAACAGTTCAAGAGGTCCTTGTTGTATTTTTCAGGAGAGTTGTGTTATGCCAGGCTGACAGAACTCAACCAGACAGACAACCAAAACAGCCTAGCATTTGTTTGGGGTTTGGTGTTAGTTTCTCACCAGATAGTGGTGGACAGGGAAGTACGGGCATGGGAATGTGGTTTGATTTTTAAAGTTATGTTTAATGGCATCATGGCAAACTACTATAAACAGATATGTTCTGAAAGTCTGGTTTCTGTGAAGATTTCCTGACATAAATGCGTTTTTAGAGGCTTTTCAGATTAAAACTTTGGTTAAAATGAACAATAATATTTTGTAGTGTAAAAATGATAAAACGTAAAGAAACAACCTCAGCAGTTTTGTCTTTAAGAATACAAGATATCAGCCCATATGTTTCAGTCTACTGTGAAACTGATGACAGGAACAGTAATGAAATCCTCCTGGCATGATTTAAGTTAATATAAGGCCCTGGAGAGATTTGGAGTTTGCTGTGATGACACAAATTGATGAGGAAATGAGATTTTGATAAACAAAAACTGAACTATAAATCTAAACAATGGGAGCAGGATGAGGAGAGGGGTATGGAGAATCACCACCAGAGCGGGTCGAATACTGATCACTGGATTCTTATGCTACCAAGCACTTCAGCAAGGAACCAGTTATCATTTACTGGTGTGAAAATTTAGCTTGCAGAATAATTTTTGCTCCTCAAGTGTCAAACTGCATCTTAAAGTTGTGATTGACAAATACAAAGGAAGCAGGCAGCAACAAACATATGTCGGCAGTTAAGTTAAAAGGCCTCACTTTGCTTTTGCATAATGTAGGGTGGCTTTAATGAGCAAGTTATGAAACTGACTTTACATAAAACGCCTGTTGCTCTTGATGTGCAGAGCTGATGGCTGTGTTTTTGATGACACTCTGTTATTTCCCATCAAGCAGAGATGTTGAAATAGTGGTCAATTGTGACCTGAAGATAAATCGATATATCGACATTGTGATTTCACTTATTGTAGGATTTTGGTTATTAAAGTCTCACAATATGGCTTGATTATTATGCATGCATTACTTTTGCAATGCATGCTTCTAACATTATTAGTTTATGAACATGTACCCACTATTTGCTTATTACAAGCTCTAATGGTGATTTTGGACATTTTAGATCAGGGGTGTCAAACTCAATTGCACAGGGGACGCTACATTTGCAAACACCTGCATTTTGTCTGGACACAAGACGTCGCACACTTTCATCATGCAGCTCTTTAGAAACTCTCCCTCGGTAAATGTTCGGGCTGATTTTCTCCTCTGCCACAATAAAACTTGCTTTCACAGCAGCTTCACTGTGTGATTTCGCTTTGGTGAAAACGTCTGCTGTGATGTCAGATTCCTCTTCAACTCCTCTACCTTCTGTAGCTTCTGCTCTACATTCACGTTTTTCAGCTTGTCCTGATGTTTTGTCTCGTAGTGCAGTCTTAGGCTATATTCCTTAATTACAGCCACATTAGCTCCACAAATAAGACACACAGGTTTCCCGTCAATGTCAGTAAACATATACTCAGCCTCCCACCGGTTTTCAAAGGCTCTGTTTTCAGTATCAACCTTTCTCTTGGCCATTGTTAGGGGCTAGCTTTGACTTGAAATTAGGGTTGTATACATCAACAGGCGCTTGACTGATCTGACGCAAGTGATTGCGGGAATGATTGCAGGTAGCCTATTGTTCGGTAAGGCAGCTGTTGCGCTGCATTATGGGATTTGTAGTTTGTGTGTTATCGGCACTTCATATCGCCAGGCCATTAAAAAAAAGATATATAAAATGATCTTGCAGGCCGGATGTAATTGTATACCGGGCCGGATGTGGTCCATGGGCCTTGAGTTTGACACGTGTTTTAGATTGTCAACATTGATAGTTCATGTGTAAAAGCTGGTGTTAAATTGATTTGCAAATATTGCCTCAAGAAAAATGTTCTGAGTGAAAAACCACAACTGAACAATGAAGTGCTTAAAATAAGTCAGTTATTTAAGAAAGATTCTTGTTATATTTAATGTAGTGCTTAAATGCACTGTTAACAGAAAATAAACCAATTTTAATGATTGATCACCATCAGCCATTTTATCAATAAAAACACTTGCTGGTTCCAGCTTCTCCTGCAAGAAGAACTGCTGCTTTTGTCATTTTTATATCGTATCCATGTGAGTTTTTGACTGTTAGTCAGCTGAAATATGGAATTTGCTAGAATCTTTAGAAACAGTGCAGAAGCTAAAATGAATTGATCATTTTGAAAATAAAGATAAATCAGTAATGAAAATATTCTTTATTCACAGGCCTAATTTGATTCTCATTTGTTGCTTTTGTTTTTCCAGCCAGTGAGAATGGCCATCATATCAGAGGCACACTTTTAATGAAAAAAGCCTGATGCTATGCCACATCTGTGTGGTGTGTCTGCGTTCCGTCTTGTTATCTTGTTGGTGTGTGTTCTTGGATTCACAGAGTGTACTTGCTGTGTCTTTGTCCTTCTGATCTGTAAACCAGTCCTTCTGGCCCCTTTTCTAATCTGCTGTTTAGTTTCATAAAGCGAACTTGTGTTCACTCAGGTCTGTGCATTAGTCATGTTCAGAGCCATGCTACTGCTTGCTGTTACAGAGATTGGTAATACTTGTAGATTCACACCTCACTGTGGTTAAGTTTGTTCAGCGCACATACTATGGTTGGATGTGTGGTCATTCATACATTTACAAGCAGAAATCCATAGAGCTTCCAGTCATTGCACTAGGGCTGGACCCAAATATTCGACTATTTGGATATTTGTTTGTTGGGTAGGTAATCAGTTTTCAATTTTAGTATTTGAATATTTGAGACAGCAGGAAATTTCACTGCAGTCTGATCCCGATGATGAAGAGGAAATAAAACGTAATGGAGATGGTTTGGTCCACTAGCTGGTACTTACTAGGAATGACAGGCATCATGACGATGGGCCAGCATTGTGATTTAAACACTCCCCCACCCCCCGATCATCATGGTTTGTGGTTAAAATGACAACCAGCAGGGTCATATCAGCTGTTATTATTTTTAGCAGATTAGCTGTTATTAGCAGACTATTACTAGCGCAGCTCCAAAGCCCAAAATTTGCCATTTTGGAAAGCCCTACATTGCAGACATTTGTTCTTCGCACATTGTTGTTTAAAGAACATTTAGAATCAGCATGTGTAATGCAAATAGCGTG